AAAATACTTTACTGAAAACAAGAAGTTACATTTGAGAGTGCTTCTGTTTATAAACAAATAATCTGACTTGGCTGACTGGAAGATTTGTAGAGCTTGGCCAGTCCTCACATTCTTCCACCCAAATGAACTTGTCAAGAGGTCAAAAACACCCAGCAGGAATGCCAGAAATCTCAGCTTGATTTGGTGAAGCAAGACTTGGAAGAATAACTCTTGGTTTGAAAAGAGCACTAATAGATTCAATGAACTTGGGTCCTGGTCCACCATTAAGAGGATAACAGAGGATAGTAGAGGGCTGGGGTTATGGCTCAGTGGGGTATGACGGTGCTTGCCTAGTATGTGTGAAGTACTAGGTTTAATCCTCAGCACCACATAAAAATAAATAAAATAAAAGGTATTGTGTCCATCTACAAGTTAAAAAAAATTATGAATTTTAAAAAATAAAAAAGGGGATAGTAGAATGTTCCTGTGAAATTGCTCTAACTTTTATGCTGAAATTTCTTCATCCATCAAATGGCCGTTATAATATGCATTATATTTTTTAAAAATCATGTATTCAGTGCTGGGATTTTGGCTCAGTGACAGAACGCTTGCCTCGCATATGAGAGGCACTGGGTTCAATCCTCAGTACCACATAAAAATAAATAAACAAAATAAAGATATTGTGCCCATGTATAATGAAAAAATATTTTTTAAATCATGTATTTAAATTATTTTTAACTTTATTGTAATTTTTCTTTTCTCATCTTCACTTCCAGCTGTTTATGACCTTTGGTCTTGGCTCTATTCATTGCTGTGTGTTAAGCATCACTTCATGTTCGAGAAGATAGTTAGGGGAAAACCTATTCTACTTTGCTTTTGAAGAGAAGCATAAAGATCACCCCATGTTTATGGCATCATTGGCTCAAATGGACAAGCTCTTTGCCAGGGAAATATATTTGAAGAGTCCTCATATAAACCCTTTCCCATCCTCATTTGCTAAAATCTATTTCTTGTTCGACATAAAGTAAAACAATATCCAACTGACTATACTATACACCTGCTTACTGAACAAAATTACAATTTTTCTCCAAGTTTGCTAGCACATGCCTTACTTCCTGATGTCCATACCTGTATTGGTCAAAGGCTGAGTAACCTGTCTATCGTCTCATATATTTGTATGCTCACCCATTTATGTACCCACCTGTACACACACATTCACACACACACACCCCACACACACTTCACACATACATGCATAACTAGTTTTTTGATGGCAGAGACAATAGGTTATTCACCATCACATCGCCAATTATAGCATGATGCCTAGCATATGATAGATTTCAATGCATCAATACACTGTTATTCTCCTTTACCACCAAAAGCCTAGTGTGGGGAGAGGCTGGGGCTGTGACTCAAGTGTAGATAGAGCACTTGCCTTGCACATGTGAGACACTGAGTTCTATCCTCAGCACCATATAAAAATAAATAAAGATACTGTGTCCATCTACAACTAAAAAATATTTTTTAAAAAGGCTTGACTGAGATTCAATGCCCTTAAAAGTGTGTTCAGTGTACATTTATTACATCATTACACAAATCCTATTACTTTGAAGTTAAGCATGTCCAAGAAAACACAATTTTACCCCATCACCTAAAAAAAACTATAAGGATTATTAATAACATATATTTTGTATTTACTAAGCATGCACTATAATTGTTTAATAGAACAAATGATTGGGTTGAGTTTTAATAGCTTTATTGAGATATAATTGAAATAACATGCAATTTACCCATTTAAAGTATGAAATTCAATGATCTTTAGTAGAGTCACAGAACTAAACAATTAGCACCACAATCAATTTTAGAATATTTGCATCCATCAAAGGAAAAAAATTAAAAACCTGTTCCCATTAATGGTCACCCCCCTTATTTCCAACCTTGTCCTCCACCTTCCCCAGGCAACCACTAATCTACTTTTGGTCTCATAGATTTTCATTTCCTGAACATTTCATATGAATGTAACCATATCTTTTTGCTTATTTCATATAATTGCCCCCATCCTTAGGCAATCACTAAACTATTTTCTGCCTTATAGATTTGCCTTTTATGAACATTTATATAAATGCAATATGTAAATTTTGTGACTGGAGCCTTTCACTTAGCATAATGTTCTCAATTTCATTTCTGTTGTAGCATCATTTATCAATACTTCATTTTTATTGGTGAATAAAATGCCAATATATATGTTAAAGAACATTTTGTTTATCCACTTGCCAGTTGCTGAACACTTATCAGTTGCTGAACTTAAATAAGGCTGCTATGAAAATTCATGCACAAGTTTTTGTGTGGACATATCTTTTCAATTATCCTAGGTATATAACCAGGAGTGAAATTGCTGGGTCATATGATAAGTTTGTATTGTAACTTTTYGAGTAACTGTGAGATGTTTTCCAAAGTGGTTGCATCATCCCGCCATCTGTATTTGAGAGTTCCAATTTCTCCATATCTTGTCTTTTTTGCTTGTAGCTATCCTTGTAAATATGAAATAGTATCTTGTGGTTTTGATTTATATGCTCTGTTGGTTAACGATGTTGAACATATTTTTTTTTTCATGTGCTTTTTGGTCACTTACTTGTATCTTCCTTTGAGAAGTACCTATTCAGATCCTTTGTTTATTTTAAAAATTGGGTTGTTTATCTTCTTATTTCTGAGTTGTCAGTGTTCTTTATATATTTTGGAAACAAGTTTATTAACAGGGACATGACACACAATCATTATTTCTGATTCTATGGGTTATCTTTTCGTGTTCTTACTGGTATTGTTTGTAGTGCAAAAATTTTACATTTTTATGGAGTTCTGTTTATTTTCTTTTGTTGCTTGTGAAAAAAAGCCAGCTGAGATTTTTTATAGGGATTGTATTGGATTTAAAGGTAAAGTTGGGGAATATTGCCATTGTATTTTTATTATTTTTTTTAAAGAGAGAGAGAGAATTTTTTAATATTTATTTTTTTAAAATTTTTGGCAGTCACAACATCTTTGTTTTAGTATGTGGTGCTGAGGATCGAACCCGGGCCACACACATGCCAGGAGAGCACGCTACCGTTTGAGCCACATCCCCAGCCCAATATTGCCATTTTAATAAAATCAAGTTCTATAATCTATGAGCATGAGATTCTTTATAACATTCCAATATTTTTCAATATTTTGGTTCAGTTTTCCTGACCCACGCCTGGTCAGAGATATACCCTAGGTCTATAGAACATTATAGTGGTCAAAAGCACAGTTTCTGTCTAGAGTTTGACRACTCAGAGTGAAAGTCCCAGCCCTTCTTCTGACTAGCTATGTAAATAYGGACAAATTATTTAACTTTTCTTAGTCTCTGTTTTCTTAAAACAAAGTATAAAGTGCAAATAATAATACATATTACATAGGATATAAAGATTAATGATAAATATGTGACACACTTAGCATTGCACCTGCAACRTTTTCCCTTAAGTGCACTCCACCATCTCTTTGGAATTCATTGACATTGTATCTTGTTTCCCTCAAAATTTCTGTACCTTCCTTAAAGATAATGAATCAAACTACTCAAAAGCTTCAGTTCATATCTAATGGAAGAGGTTCAAAAGAAATGGCTGGTCAACTAACCAGCTCTGCTCTTCCTTCCCATATGATCTAGGTACATATCAACTAGGAAATTTTGGATTTAGTTATCCTTTTCCTCTACAGTCGGACTTCCACATACAATGATTCTTTTAAAATATAAGTCAAATCATTTCATTGTTCTGCTCAAGTCCTTCAGTAATTTCCCATCCCTCCTCCCATAACAGCCAAAAACATTGCAATAGTTTAAGAATTTAAGACTTGTAAAAACCCTATGTGATCTAATACCTGACTACTCTTTGACCTCATTTCTGATACCATCCTCTGTCCTAGCCTTTCCTCAAACCTGTCAGACACATTCCCACCCAGGGCCTTTGGATATGCTCATTTTGTTCTGTCTACAAATATTTTCCTATGGATACCAACTTGGCTTCTTCAGTTATAGCCTTTGGGGTCTTTGCTCAAATATCGCCAAGTAAGGCTGACCATCCTGTATAAAATAGCAAAATTATTCCTCTTATTAATTTGCTTTATTTTTMTCCCTAGCACTTATAACCCTCTGACAAATTATATATTTACTTGTTTGTTTCCTTCTATAAACTGCAAGTAACATATGTTCGTGTATTTGATTCCTTTAATAGTCCCAGGCATATTTGATGTTTGTTAAATATATGCTAAATGAATGGCCTCCARAGTTGTCTTTTCCTATAAGTAACTTCAGTAGTAAGAAGACCAACAGGGCAGGACCAAGGGAAGGGATTGATTTYTGTCAGATGAAATGTTCTTCTTCAATTAATCAAAGGATAAATTCTACTCAAAGCTCAAACATAGCTTGACACAGTCCTATTTTTTTAAATTAACAGAATTTCAAGAAATGTTAGAATTAGCTCTAAAGTGGACAGAGATAGAACTAGAAAAAAAAAGAAAGGTAGAATTATCTGAGTCCCATTCCCTTTTGCCCTATCCCCATAATCTATGCATTCTGTGTTTCAGAGTGGATTTATAACTTTATCATTTTATTATTTAAAAATGGATATAATGCCACTTTACTTTTTCCACACATGGTATTTCTCTTGGTATTAAGATCTTAGGGGGCTGAGATTTGGCTCAGTGGTAGAGCACTTGCCTCAGCACCACATGAAATATTAAAGATATCGTGTTCCTCTACAACTAAAAAAAAAAGAACAAGAAGAATTTTTTTTAAAAGATCTTAAAAATTCATTAACAAGACTGTGGGTAACTTTGCAATTAGAAAACACAGTGCCATGCCTAGGAATTGAACTACAGTTCCCAGAGTGCATCTCTTAGAAGAACTCTGGGAAGTGTGGCAGAAGTATGCTTTTTGACAACCATAGAGAACTTTATCAAGCATAGGGATTAAATAACATTTCCCAGAGTGCTTCTTTTAGGAGGATTCTGGGAGGTGTGACAGAAGAAACAATGGTCTCTCCAGGGAAGAGAAGCTGTTTGAACTTGAACTTTTGGAGTTTGCTGGTTTCTGCTGATTCTTGAGGCCTAGGAAGGCACCCCCAAAAGAATTCAGAGTGAGTACAGTAGAACAGAAATGTGCTCAGGTTCTAAGTGCAAGAAGTTATTTTATAGGGAGACATAATTAGAACTTAATAAAAGCTCTTAGTTACAGTGTTTTACAATTTAAGTTAATCTCTTCTCTGTCTTGAAGAAACCAGGGGAATGACCAGTTTTGCACTTGTGAAGCTATCTCATTAACTACAGTAGTTCATCACTTTCTGATACATCTTTGAAGAGTTGTTTAAAAATAGAATTTGCTAACTTCTCACTCTTTGCCTTAATTTTTTAGTTAAAGGAGGAAACACCATCTTTTAGAAAGCAAGKCATAAGACCTTGAAATTTGTACCCCAGTGGTTCCTCAGGTCCCCATATTGTTGAGGTCTATAGTCATGCCAAGATAGATGGACTCTCTCCAGAGGGCTCTCCCAAACATCAGAGTCTTAACCTCTTCTTGGTGATAGTAACATAAAGACTTGAAATGAGCTTTTTTTTGTTATGCTTTTAGGCTTTATAAATTAATCCTTCTCCTGGAAAGATGAACAGAATGAGAAATGTGTGTGACTCGTTGATTTCAGAGAGTTCAGAGAAATTGTTAATCTTAAGGTCATCATTTATTAGTTTTTTTTTTTAAGAGAGAGAGAGAGAGAGAGAGAGAGAGAGAGAGAGAGAGAGA